TCTTCCTATTTTACCTTACAAACAAGTTAACAGTTTATCTTCTTTCTATTTTACTTCAAACAAGTTAACTAGTTTATCTTCTTTCTATTTTACCTTTCAAACAAGTTAACAGCTTATCTTCTTTCTATTTTACCTTTCAAATAAGTTAGCTAAATATTCATCTCTCCGACAATCTAATTGCTTGATGACATATTTGTTCGTATTTTTTCCTTCATACCATACCTTTTACAGTGATTAGTCATAGTTAAGTCATGTTCGTTGTTTATTTACTAATTCTATGGTGAAAGTTTTCATGGCACGTCTATTATTTTACTATTTTCCTCATCTGTACTGTTTTAATTTTCTTGTATACTCTTGTTCTATTCATAACTTGGATTTTATTTCATGACATTCTTCCTTCAATTTATTCAATTAGCTATTTAGTACTAAGGATATATATTATTTAGCACTAAGGATGCATATTGTTTAGTACTAAGGATACATATTGTTTAGTACTAAGGATATATATTATTTAGCAATAAGGGTACATATTATTTAGTATTAAGGGTACATATTACTTAGTACTAAGGATACATATTACTTAGCAATAAGGGTACATATTATTTAGCACTAAATATACATATTATTTAGTACTAAGGATGTGTATTGTTTAGTACTAAGAATACATATTATTTAGCAACAAGAGTACATATTATTTAGCACTAAAGATACGTATTATATAGTAATAAGGGTACATATTATTTAGCACTAATAATACATATTATTTAGTACTAAGGATTTGTATTGTTTTGTACCAAGGATTTGTATTGTTTAGTACGAAGGATTTGTATTGTTTAGTACTAAGAATACATATTATTTAGCAACAAGGGTACATATTGTTTAGCACTAAAGGTACGTATTATTTAGTACTAAGGATGTACATTGTTTAGTACTAAGAATACATATTATTTCTATCTTTGCTTCTATAAGTGGACTGTTAGTGATTGTATATGAATCTCCTTCACTGCGGTAGATTCTTTAGCACATAGTTAAAACACACTATATTATTATTTTATTTTTGTTTGATTTCGTACTGCTCTGTTTACTTTGAATATTACTTAGAAATAATGTCTCAAACGCTGCAATTTTCCTGAAAATTATACAGTCGGTAGTTTTGAAAACAAGAAAATCGAAGTATCCTAAATCGTGGACCAAAGTCGTATTTGATCATGAATATAAAAGAGAACATGTAATGATTAAATTGTTTCAATTAGTTTACTTTCATATTTTGAAAACCACTTAAGAATTGTTTTAAATTTTAAATTTCACATATCAATATACCTCCCAGTGGCTCAGTTGTAACTCTAAGAACTTATAACGCTAAAAATCGGGTTTTAATACCCGTGATGGACACAGATAGCCCAATGTGTAGCTTTGCGCTTAACGCTAAACAAACGTGTCAAAACTCATTCAGATATTTCTTTCACTCGAAGAGACAGCCTTTGAACAACTGTTTTCCCAACACTAGTATACTTCATCAACAACAACATAAAATGAAAACACACAGACTCGTTTTTGTTCCAAACTTACTGAAGTAGTAGAACAATCCATATATAACTTCACATGAGGCTTGTGGCCGAGATGATTTTCTTTCTTATCGTATGTAATTCTAGTCTTATATCAGAAATATATATATATTCAGATGAATATCTCAGTTATTTTAATTTGAGTTTGAAACTATAATGGTTCTTTCTTTTAACAGATCTAGAAAAACCTCCAAGAAATTTAACTTTTCTAATAATAAAACACTAGAAAATAAACTGCTGTGAAACGCGCATTCATTCATTGTTTTTATTATAATATTTTAGGATATCCAATAAGAAATTTTCCACTATATTTCAAACAGTTATAAATATCAAATATGTTGTTTGCATTTGTTAATAATTCACTTATTTTTTTATTACATATATTGCAATTTAAAAGAAAAATACATCAATTTATACACTTATGAGCAACGGATCGAGCAAATATAACAAAGCTTCCAATTTCAAATATGTTCTACATCAGGTTTTTCCATAAACTTGCAGAATCATGCAACATACTGAATTAGGAAAAGGCGTTTTTCAGAGAACGTCGAATAACATGACTTTTTCTTTTCTACCCTAATCGCTTTTTGATCAATCTTCAGATTTTACAGTATTTCTCTTTGAGATTTTTATATGTAAAAATTGACAACCTCGATTGTTTTCATGTAGATATTTTAGTTGGTAAATATATAACCAAAGGGACGAGTTAAGATTTTACAGAATCTTACAAAGTATTTCAATCGATGAGACATGTCGTGACCTAACAACTCAGACAGTGAATGAAGCGATGATTCTTTAAAATCACTTGAAAGTAATTAGTTCAGTCATATGATTAGCTTGTGATAGTGGACTCGTCAGCATGTGGGTTGTGCTTTAGACAAATACACGGTCTACCGTATGTAAGCTCCAATAAACAATAAACGTATATTGTGAAAAATAAATGTAAGTGTTCTATAAACATACGATCATGTATACCAAGCGTACTACCAACCATGTTATAAAAAACTACGTTGTATACCGTCTATCACATGTATACCATGTTTTTTTAAAGCGTACTGCCAACCATGTTATAAAAAAACGACGTTGTATACCGTCTATCACGTTTATCAAATAAATGAACAGTTGTCGTGTACCAACCTATTGTTATTAGCCGCGGTAAAGTGGCTCGTGGATTTTTTTTTCCAAGCTCAAACTTTTAGCTCATAGCTCCGTATCTCTTGACCGATTTAACATCTAATTACAGTTTTGGACTCAGGAGGTCAAATCCTTTCAATCGATGTATTTGGCCACGCCAATAGTCACGTACATTAATTTACTATAATATTGCTTAAAATAATTTCAATTTGAGGGTAGGCCGGTAGAGATCCTGATGAATAATAAAATCGAATCGGATATACGCGCGCCCCACGCTTAGTATTGCTGGCGCACAAAAATGTAGCTAATAAAAAGAAAGAAAGAAAAGGGTCTCATAGATTAATTTACTCTAATCCTGCCTAAAAGAATTTCAGATGTCGCGGCTATTGAGGATTCCCTCTTGTTTCATTTTATAAACAAATGACCGCAAGTATCATTCACTTTATGTTCTTTTGTGAACAAGGAACAATGTAATACTTTAACAATTGTTACTTTCTATAAAGAAATGGAATGACCATCGTACTGTATTTTTTCTACACTAAACGAATGACTATACTGTGTCATAAGTACATAAAATATTCATCATTATTATACAAGATCACATTATTTTGTACATTATATAAACAAAACAAAATAGCTCATATTGTGGTCTTATGCTCAACACATCGTCAAGTAGGTGTATTGTTACATCTGTGTCGATATAAATATGATTTTATTTATTTTCTAATCAATGGATGTTAAGAAAAAGACAAGCTATCTTGAATTCTACGCAATATAAGCTCCAAAGGATTTGAATGTATTCTATCTGAATATCACCTTTGGCTAAAATTTAGTAATTATAGTCATTAAATGTAAAATGCCCATGTTAACAAGAACTCTGGTGCTTTGATACAAACGTTTTATTTCGGAAACTGCAGTTTTGCGAACATTGGTTATTAATATGCTGTTTGTCGGAGTTTCTTTCAAGAGAAGTATAGTTTTGAAGACCGTTGAGTTCTTTCTTTTGCTGAATTTTCAGATGACAATCATCTGATTCAAGAGCATCAGTTAATAATTAAAATAAACGTGAAACTTATTGAACTACTTTGATTTACTAACATACAACTCGTCCTATAATATGTGAAACATATTTACTAGGATATTTCTGTTCAGATGAGTTATATCAGCTCTTACTATCCCAGCTAGATCGATCAAGGAAAATTTTATACCAATCTGCTTTATACGTTTCGATAACAGCTATCGTAAATTTTGTACTCTTTCATACCGAAAAACCAATTGGAAATATTACCAACATTCAGAAATGTTGATACAATATGATGCCTATTTGTTCCCTCCCTTTCATTATTATTTTTTCGTTACGACCTTAATCCTAACTAGTTTGGGGTCGGCTGCTATTTTTGTATGCCAAGAATGTTTGCAGCCGGGTCATATAGGACGAGAATATTCGACGATGAGAATTCGAATAAATGCGTGCCTTAACTCTTTCATACATAAAATTTTATGAAAAATATTCAGTTGAGTCATAAAAAAAAACAACTAGATGCTAGATATATCGTCTTAAACATGATTCTGGTTAACATGTTACTTATCGGAATACTACATAGTGGTCTACATAATTAATCAATATTCCAATAATCACAAGTGACGTGCCTTTTGTTTGTTTCAAATCAAAGACAAACAATCATTAATAATAATAATAATAAAAATTTCATTTCCTTCATTGTCTGCGACTGCAAAATTCTATGAGACTGTGTGAAAAACTGAATACAATACAATCGGACAAAAGTTATTGTATAAACTGAATTAGTATGTTTCTCTTGTAATCAGTTATAATGTAGTTAATACACAGTCGCTGTTCAATAAATATTTTATAGGCTGTAGTGCATGTTGAAACCTTAGAAAGAAAATGCGTTGGCTTAGTATTTTAAATCTGGTCATACAAATATGGAGAGAGAAAACAGAGAGAGAAAAGTGAAATACTTGAGCACTAATTGTATGAAACAGTTAAGTCCTTTCCTGACTTGTTTTTGTCAAGCTCTACTTCCTTCTAAAGCCAAATTACGGCATGTAATGACTCTTATCTGGCTGAGCTCCAGGCTAACATTTAGTTCCAACTTTAGGATACCAGTATGTGAAGGGAATGTGACATCAGAAGGTTGTGTTTATGATTCTTGCTCCGAAATCTTTTTTCCCTACTGTTTGATGCTTATTAGGGAAATATTTTTTGTTCCTTACAAACTACAATAGTATAGATGTAGTTACACACTTACACTTCCCAACTTGTACGGGATCTCACGATAATTAAATTTGTGGTGACAAGAATTAATCATCTAGTATGTGCTTTTTAGGTCTTTGCAAAGTGACTACATTTTTCAAACAATACATAAGGTCCATTTTTTTAATGTATGGAATATCATATACATATATGATGATAGTAGTCAAATATTTACATGTTTCAAAAATATAATTAGGACTTAAGTTGCAAAATGGAATAATGTTAGTCTCTCTTACTTAAGAGAAAAACGTCTGTTTTCAGTTTCTGTGTAAAGTTTATAACCCTTCGTTGGAAAAATTAGAATGTTTCTGCTTACGAATAGATCTAAAACGTTTCATCCTTGTAAATTCAAATAAACTTTCTCAAGAAATGTCGGACTACAACGTAGATTTATACTATTTCTAGTCAGACCCCTGACTGCTAAGATACTGGGCAATAGAAAACCTCTTTCTTCTGGAGAAACGGTTGAAATTCAATGCGTGACGATGGGCTCGCGACCTCCTGCAGAGATCACATGGTGGAAAGGAAGCACCGAACTGCGGAGTACTAAGAGCAAGTCTTCTGGAAATGGTAATTACACTTCCAGTGTGCTCACCATCAAGCCCTCTAGCGATGATAACGGAAAGTTCTTGACCTGCAGGGCTATGAATCCTTTGATGCCAGACAGCGTAGTTGAATATAGCTTGAGACTGGAAGTGTATTGTAAGTACGTAAAATGCATGTAATTTAAAATTTAAGAATATATGTATATTATGCAACTGTTATCAAACATTTTTTTGTTCTTCTAAGTATAACCTAAAAATTTAAAACGCAGTTTCTGATAGAAGTGAATAGATAAAAATTAAAAGAATCTCGGAAACTTAAAATAGCTATATAAATGAAATTAACACGTCTTGAAACTCTGAAGAGGTCAATATATATATATATATAGTCAACTTTGTTCTTCAATACGAAAATTTGAGTGACTTTAAATTTTGTTGGAATGAATATCTGCCTACTAAGTTTATTTGGTTGAAAAGAAGGTGATATTAGGACAGTCACTACGACACTAGAGGCCACTCAGCTTTATCACTTTTTGCCGTCAGCTGGCTCTCGGAAACTCAGTGGACCGTGTAGGCTGTTATTGGGTTTTCTTTGATGAAGTACGCAAAGCAGAAAAACGTCTCGTAAAAGAAATAAAGGAGAAACTTTTCTGTTACATATTTCAGAAATACTGAGCTCAGGAGACGAATCCACTCACATCTTTTGCATAAAAACAAAAGGTTATTTCAATATAGAAAAATGTATCATTAGCTATTTGGTTTACTTTCGTTGTCTGCATTAAAATTTACGAGTATATTTGTGAAAAAATATGTTAAATTTATACTATCTTTTTGAAATATCGTTATAGTGAAGTACATTCAATGTCTCTAGGTTCTTCAAGCACATACATACAAAAATAGTTTTTCATTCAATGTCTCTAGGTTCTTCAAGTAAATACATACAAAAATAGTTTTAAATTCAATAGCTCTAGGTTCTTCAAGCACATACATACAAAAATAGTTTTTCATTCAATGTCTTTAGGTTCTTCAAGCACATACATACAAAAATAGTTTTTCATTCAATGTCTCTAGGTTCTTCAATAAATACATACAAAAATAGTTTTTCATACAATAGCTCTAGGTTCTTCAAGCACATACATACAAAAATAGTTTTTCATTTGTTGTCTCTAGGTTCTTCAAGTAAATACATACAAAAATAGTTTTTCATTGAATGTGTCTAGGTTCTTCAGGCACATACATACAAAAATAGTTTTTCGTTGAATGGCTCTAGGTTCTTTGTTGTTGTTTTTTTACTTTAAATGAAAACGAGTCCTTTGAAAAAAACTTGTTTTGTGTATATTTCTCATTTTCTTCACTGCAATTTCGTAATTAAACTATTGATATTTGAAGACAAATAAAAATAGGATTATACGACGGCTACAGTTGGTTTAAGTTACTAAGGGAAACATAAGCTGAGGCAAATTTAGAATATTTAATGACATGTTGTGACATTTAAAACTTTATACATCAATACCAAATTTTACAAAGCTATACGTAAGTGCTTATATTGAATGTGTACGTGACTCATGTAACACAACAGGACACAGAACGTAGTCTTAAATGTATTAATTCATTGCTTTATCTGATTGGTTGGAACGTTAAGTGCTTTAAGCCGTTGTAATCCTCACATCTTCCGTTTGGCGGAAAGGCTGCTCCTTGTCAGTAAGATCATTTGATTTCTGTTGGGAGAGGGAAGCTTTAGGGAAGACCTGCTCTATCTGAACTGGGCAGTAGAGGTTTGTTCATTGCACTTGAAAGAAAAATCCCAAACTGCTTATACAAACGTCTCAAGTGCTTTATCCGTAATTAAGAACTTTGGAGGCAGGAACGGTCTGATCTATCTCTTTTTTCACTATTTAGTGACAGCAAGTATAGCACTTTTATCTTTATATATATAATTTGGGCTAAGAATGTCGAAAGAGAACCATTACAGTTAGGTCTCGAGAGGAAACGGTTCCCCAGAAAAGCTCAAAATATTTATGTTTTTATTTTTTTCCTGAGATAAAATAACACTCTCAGAATATATTGTTGTTGTTTTTCAGACCCACCACAACTCATTCTTAGGTTAGGCAGCAAGCTACGTCATACTCATTTACAGGAAGGAAATGATGTATATCTAGAATGTAACATCCGGGCAAATCCCTGGGTTACAGAGGTTACCTGGAAATTGGAAGGACGTGATTTAGTAACTAATACCTCTATCGGAGTCATAGTTAGTAATCAGTCATTGGTGTTGCAGAAGGTGAAACGTTCCAATAGAGGGCGATATCTCTGTTCTGCCAAAAACCCGCAAGGTTATGGAGAAAGTAATGTTGTTTTCCTGCGAATACAATGTAAGGATTTTAGTTTTTTGTATAAAGATAAACCTTTTCATACTACCTATACTGAATAACAATACCATTTGATAAAACAGTGTTTTCAAATGTGTAACATTTTAATGTTTAAAGTTCAATTTCTAGTCATACCTAAGGCAAGTAAATTGTGTTTTGAAATAATATTTTTATAGTATAAAAACTAGTGTTGCAATTATCCTTATAATAATGAAAACGCAGACTGTTATTATTCTACTTCTAAAGAATACCCTTTCACATTTTAGTCTTATGTAGTTTTTTATTATTCTAACACTTTAGAATTACACTTTCACATATCAGACTTAATATAATCAATAATAAATTAACTATTTTATTAGTTAAAATGTTTATTACGGACACATGATGAAAGTGTGTTTTTATAGTGTCTTCAGAAAAATGATAAGAATATTTCCTCCGTTATTACTACAGCATTAAAACTTTCACATTCAATAGTAAGTATGTTTCTATTATATTACGTTCTATTATATTTTATCGGTTAGGTCTAGGTACTACTACCTGGCTATAAAGCTTAAATCTGTCGAAACTAGCCCCTCACAACCGAAAATTTGGGGATTCGGTTATGTGATAGTTTCAGTTAGATTTGTACAGATTTCACGTAATATACCTTCACTTTATTAACTGCATGATTAGCCAAGAATGTTGATCTGTGATAAAGCGTTAGCTAAATGAATATAGCATATTACAATAAACCACGGTTATAGATCTCAATAATTTAAACATACATGATCAAATGGCTTATTCAATTAGAAGTCAACGAGGAAACCTAAACAATGGAGAATTTACACATGGGTTACCATATGAAACACTTTTAAACATTACCTCTTTTGAATGAAAATAGTTCTCTCAACGCCCCCCTCCCAGTGGACAGCGGTATGTCTGAGGACTTACAACGCTAGAAACCTGGTTTCGATACCCGTGGTGGGCAGAGCACAGATAGCCCATTGTGTAGCTTTGTGCTTAGTTTCAAACAATAAGTTCTCTCAACATAAAAAGACATTTTTATTAGAGTAGCAACACAAGAAGAGCACCATTCATGTCTAGGATAATTTGTTATATTTTGCTTTAACTAGCATAATAAAATCCTATGTTACATGATAAACGAATTCCAGAAAAAGTGTTTACCCCTCCCCTCCCATGCAAGTAGACAACCAAAATTCAAGATGACAACTAGCTGCTACCTCGATTTTTGGCTCTCTTCTAGTTATTGTCTAACAGATGTGGAGTTACAGGCTCGTGGTTCTCACATTAAACCGCAAACTAATCCATAAAAAATGTAAAAATATTTGAATTCTGCATAGAGGAGAAAATAATCATTGCATTCTATGGCTTCATTGGTCTAAAAAATACGGTCACGACTATATGTCTGTCGAGACATTCAAAGACAACTATTACGCTCATTTCTATAGAAACGCAGTTTTATATGTGAGTGAGTGGATTTTTTTATAATCGAATGGTGCTATAAATCTGTAATGATGTTTCATTTTACTTTTCACTTGTAATCATAAAGCAGCAAGGATCACTCTTAGTCTGAAACATGTAAACGTTGACTACATTCGGTTAGCGATATAGCTTTTCAGTTTTACTTAGTACTTACTAGATCATGCTGTTCTTCTTCATACAAAAGACTCTGATTTAAACACCTGATTAGCGAAAAAGGAAGTCCTGATGAAGGAATATAATTTTTTTTATTGTGTTATTTTTCTAGATGCGCCAGTCTGTAAGCCTGGTCAGAAGTTAACTTACGGGGTTCCTCAATATGATGGTGTTGACATTCGCTGTCAGGTGGAGGCCGACCCACCGGAAGTGAAGTTCCGTTGGAATTTCAATAATTCCTTAGAAAGGCGGGAGATCATGAACTTTGAAACAAGCGGCACTGAAAGCGTGACCAGATTTATTCCTAGAAGCAATCAGGACTTCGGCTCGCTGCTCTGCTGGGCAGCTAATAATGTAGGGATGCAGCGAGAACCTTGTATCTACGCGGTAATTCCTGCAGGTGAGATAGTAAAATAAAACACCGTCTTTGCGTGTTGTCAAACACCTTCTACTAATATTTTAAATATGCATATTTAAATATAAACAATAACACAAATGAAATACGATTATCTACTGAAATTGCAGAGAAGAAATATAATTACGTTTATCTATAACTTTCCAGCCAAGAGCGAATGCACGACATTTATTATAACTTACCAGTCAAGAGTGAATGCGCGACATTTATTATAAATTACCAGCCAAGAGCGAATGCGCGACATTTATTATAAATTACCAGCCAAGAGCGAATGCGCGACATTTATTATAAATTACCAGCCAAGAGCGAATGCGCG